AATTTTTATTTCAGGACTTATTTAGGTCACATATATGGAAATCAGTAGAAAACCTTTTTTTTTTTGGGACACCTTAGTGTATACACCCACGACTGAATCTTTCCTCTCATACCCAACCCTCTTAACTTCACTCCGTAACCTTAGAATTATGTAGATATATGTATATGTCTGTATAGATATGCGCTAATATCTGCACCGGGTGTGTATATGTGTGTATTACTACGTTTCTGTATATATATATACAAATATATACATGCATCTATTTATGAACCTATCCTTCTGTACCCAACCCCCTAAGATTTTTTATCAACCGTCACAATGCCGTCACAATTTATGTGTGAGTACATATTATAATGATTTACACTATTTTTGTATGACCGTATAATACTCAACACGCACACCATACAAAATAGGAGACTCCTCGGGTATAAGTTTATCACTTACAAAACCTAAAGTGGTAACTAAGCTGTTAGCCATGAATTTGTTTTAGTACTTTAACTCCTTCGAAACAAGCTTAGCCATTCCAACATAGCCCTGACGAGATGAAGGTTTGTTACATACCACAACTTTCAACCATTAACATGTCCTCAACCCCAAACTCCACTCGCGTGGTACCTTCAAAAGGTAACAACCTGCAACAACAGCATAAAATACGAAATAACATTAGACAATAAAGTCGTAATGAATGAAAGACAACAAAATAATAAAAAACAGAATAAGCAAGACAAAGAAAAAAAAAATAGGCTAGATACGGGTAAAGGAAGGAAAATAGAACCTGAATAACAGATGAGACGAGACAAATAAATAGGAAAAGTTACGATAAAAAAGAAGATAATAACATCAAAACTAAGAAGGAAAATCAAAGTTTTTTCAAACATAGAGATTCATACAAATAAGACAATAAATAAAATATAAAACTTTAACATTTAGAACACTATAAACACAAAGCACAAAAATTTATACAAACTTACAGAACTCTGAAAAAACACATACTTAATTCTGACTTAAACACTGAATAATTCTCCACTCTTAATAAACATCACCTCTCAATACTAAACACCTATCCAAATATAATAATTGATCTAGCAATTTCTTGCACTTATATAATACATTACTTCCTTCTCTAAAGACTTTTACGGCCTGATGGTTCTATATAAGAGGTGGAACTTTAATTGCTTCCACTACGAAACATTAGCATCTTTATATGGCTTTTTCTCAAAGTTTATAAAACTTGAGTCTGGAAATGTCAAATTAGCCAAAGCTTGATGCAATTAAAAAAACAACTTAAATTTTTCTCCTTTGGAAACGAGTTAGGAAAAAAAAAAGAGTTTTTGAAGGTGTGTTTTTTATGAAGAACAAATGACGCAATCATAGAAAAGTTTATGTTTTGCGCAAAAAAGGTGTGCATGATGAGTTCTCTAATTTTGAAATTAACTTCAGTATTTTCTTTACGTTGATGATAACTGTTCATTCGATGATAAATGATCTTTCTTCTGTTTTGCAGAAAGATCATTTTCTAAAACGAAGTTAATTAAAAATACGCTGAGTACCTCAATGCGTCAAAACGGCTATCAAACTTGACTTTTATTAGTATTAAAAAATACATCATATGGGAAATGAAACTGTTATCGTCAGTGACTTTGCTAACCGAAAATCTAAGAAAGCAAATTTAACTGTGCTAGAATATAAGTGACATTATTCAAATCTGACACTGTTCCTATTGAAATTGTAACCCTATTACTAAATGCACACAATGTGTCTTTTATTTATTTGATTTTTTTGCTTATAAAAATGATATATCATTAAATTATAAATACGTTCTCAAACTTCTACTAATTAATAAGAAATTAAATTGAATTAAAATTCAATATCAGTTTTTATCACAACGGAATTATATCACACAAAATAATAGCTATTTTTATTAGCCCTAAACGTGCACATTATGAAGGCCTTTACAATGCGTATGTTAAGGGTGGATATAAAGGATTAAGAAGTTAAGTTTTCAAGTACCTAAAGAAACGTTGGATGTCATAAAATTAACGTGCCATAGGAGACGGGGGTGCAAAACCAGTGGTTTTGCTGCGTATATATTATGAACACCCATAAGAAGTTGTATTATTGGTGGATTTAGTATAGTACTCCTTAGTAAGTGCTTTGGAGAACAAGTAAGAAAGGTATAATCCTATACCTCCCTAAAAGTACCTACGCTTTTAACCTACCAACCCACCATTTTAAATTATTTTTTTAATTTAGTGTCTCCAAACTTTTATAATTGACCTACTGCCCTTCCCCACCCCCAATCTCATTTTTACATTTGCAGACCCTCTTCCTCTGCGTTCGTATTTTATGGACAAGCCTTTAACTACTTTTTAAGTGCTACAAAAAACAAAATTTAAAATGTTCAAAATGATAAAGTTTTCAATTAAATAACATTTCAAAATTTTTTCCCCAGGGTTTTTAATAACTGTTGTAAAATCTACAACACTAAAATTAAAGGCACATGATTTGTTTAAAAATCAATAAATAACAAGCAATAAGTTTACGACTGTTAATGTTACGACTGTTATAAAGCTACTCATCAAATAAAGAATGTGAACTATACACTAATCAATTCTTTAAAATACTTGGAAATAAGGCCAAGACAAATCTAATTATTTAATAAACAGGGTGGGTAAGGGAAAAAAAAGAATTATCTGGTAGTATAAAATGCAACCAACAAAGAAAAAAATGTTTAGTAATTTTCATATATTTTGCAGTATTTTGCAGTATTTTGCTGTTTTTTTTTTTTTTGTATAATATTTTAATCTTATACATATATATTTTTACATTATTTAGACTTTCTTTTTTAAAAATTTATAGTTGCAATATATTCTTTTTCTCAAGGTTGGTTTAAGCTTTCTGTTTATAGGGTTAGTTTTTGATTGTGTGATTTAAGACGACTTTTTTCTTTAAACTCGTAATAAACGAATTCGCCTCCTTGTTTGCAATTCCCAAGCCTATTTCTTTATCCAAACCTTATTTTTTATAAATTGAATAGCACGATCTTCTAACATGTGTAACTTTGATAACAATGAACCTTATGATCAATTAGCACAATAAAACTGTATTAAATCAGCAATATACTTTTCTAAAGAGAAATATATAGTAATAGTAAAAAGTATATGTCTTTTATCTAATATAAATTTAGTTTCTCAAACATACTACATCACTAATGCTAATATAGTACTCTATGCACTATATACTACAAACACTATACCAATATAATACTCTATGCACTACTTATCAACCAATAGTTTTTTAAAAATATCTAATAAAAAAATTTAAAATAATATACTTTCAAGAATATTGTTCTAAAGGATAATATCCTTTACCTTCTATCCAAAATCATCAAATTGTGTGCTCTTGTTCATCTATTAAATTGTCTATTTGGCACAAGTTAACCTATCTCCCTCAATCTGTTATTTCTATATCGCTATAAACAGTTCTTGTTGTTATTTTCTGTCGTTTAATAACCTTAAACTATATAACCTCAATCATTATTTAGTTATGTACGGCAATAAATCACAAATCAATGCATAAAATTATGGAATAATTTACCTCGTCACTTTAAATCACTAAACCTTATTACTAAAACTGGTCCATATGCCTATTTTTTGGATAGATATTGTTTGTAAAATGTTGGGCTCATTGTGAGTTATTATTATTACTTTAGTGTTATTTTATATAATGAAAATATTATTATTATATTGTTTTACTACTATTCATATATTATTACTTATTGTTATTATTTAGTATTCAGTTTTAATACTTATCAAAATTATTATTACTATTATTATAGTTATTATTATAATATGGATTATACTTATTAATATAAATAGTATTGTTAACATTGCTGATATTGTTATTGGCCTCGTTATAATTGTTTTAATATTATTATACAATTTATTTTTACTTTAGATTAGTACTTGTACTTTTTCTATACCCATGAAATATAATCTTTTATTTTTTTAATAACCTTTTTTCATAATATATATTGTTATTACTTTACATTGCATGTATTTGAAAACTTGCCATTGCTAAAACAAAACATACACACATATATTATAAGTGTGTATGTTTTGTTTTAGCAATGGCAAGTTTTCAAATACATGCAATGTAAAGTAAAAAAAAAAACTATTACTTTTCTATTAGCTAATTTAATATTATAAATAATGTTATCTTTATTTTTATAACATGATCGTGTAAAATGCACCAGAACAAATTTATTTAAAAAAATCTTAGCACTTAAGTACTCAAACGATAAAAACACATTTTTCTGCCAAAATTAAATTTAAGCAAGAACCAAAAAAAAAATAAAGCTATAAAGTAAAGAACATTAAAGAAGATGAAGAAAAAATTTTCAAGTTCAAACAGTTAAAAATTCTGAAAATTTGTTTCAAAAAAACAATCAACTCGCTCTCCTACAGCAAATTAGCTTTCGCAGAAATACAACTATGTGCATCTTAATTTGCTTTTAAACTTAATTTAATTGCCTAATATTTAAAAAATGACGCTTGTTTATTAATTTAAAAAAAGAAAAGTTTTTAATACTGAACAGCACACCAAAAAATGCAACTAAATGGTTGTCATCTAAAATTTACTCCGTAGTTAAGAGCCACAGCCATTTTAAGAGCTCTAAATTTATTACTAAAAACTGGCGCATGCGTACCTAAACATAACTCTTTTTCTTAATATCTAAACGGCCCTGTCTTATATTAAAATCAATTTAAAATAAATTTAATAGGTTATAAAGTAAATTTAAACATTGAATTAATGGAGATTTTATAAAAATGTTTATGATGCATAATTTTTTATCTAAGATTTTTTCATTTTCAATTACTTAAATTTCCTGATTAAATTCCTTTATCTTAATTTTCAATAGCTTTTATATGAGGTCTTTGTATAATAAAATCACTAAGTATCCAGCTTAATGAATGTTTTTATGTTAATAAATTTTTTTAAGAGTTAATTTGTTAACCATTGATTTTAACTTACTTTTTTAGTTATTATTTACGTGTTTTTATTTCTAAGTACAAAAATGAGTTGTTTTCAAAAAGCATTTAATTGGTTGTTCTACAAAAAAGGAACTGATCCGTTGCCGATGGCAATTATTTTTTTACTTTCAGTGCAATACGTAAGTTAATTAGTTTTTGAAACTTGAATAAAAACATCAAATACCAGAATATATTTGTAATACAGAACTTACTGTGAGAATAAATATGTCCTTGTGAAGTTTCCTAATTTTCTATATATATCTATTTATGTTTAATATTATATCAAAAAAACAAGTTTTCATTTTTGTGCAGCATTTTTAAATTTTTTATGCGCATTTTTGTAGTTTACACAAAAGCAAAACTTTGCTTTGTTTTGTGTAAACTACAAAAAACTCGAATTTTTTTTTGTTTTTTTGTTTTTATTTTTGTTTTTTTGGATTGTGATTATTATTGTGCTCCGAGAAATCTTAACGGTTTTATTGCAGAACAACGCGGAAAAACATTTAACTAGAAAATCATCTTGTTAATGTCACAATCGTGGCCAGAGCTGGCCTCAACCCTAGGATCTGTGATGAAAGCACTTCCCAGTAGGCATGTGTTTTCCGGGAGACGTCCGTTGACTGACTTACGGACGTCTGGACATCCGTTAGACGTTCAGCAACTAAAGAAGCCTTAGTTGCTGGATTTACATTGTAAACTTTTAGAAGTAACAAGAAAGGAAAAATGAGATTATAAATAATGCAAAGACTGACCTTATCTTCGAAGATATGAGAAAAATAGAATTGACTGGAAGAACAAGAGATAAAATGAAGTCGGAAGAAATACAAATCATTTAAAGTTTAACATCAAAATTGTATCCTGAGTTTAAATCTGAGGGGAAGAAGAATGAACCAATATTTTGTTAATTAAAGTAAAAATCGTTAGATTAAGTGTGAGGTTAACTAAATGTGTGTTTAAGTTTTTAATCAAATGACAGAAAAGTGAAAGCCATAAACATAGTAATAGTGCATCACCCAGATGAGGAAAACAAAATCAAAGAGTTTATGCAACTAGAAATCCATAAGTGAGCTGTTTTTGGCTGCAATGACGCATGGTAACATAAATGAAAGACTGAAAGATGCTCAGGTTCTAAAAGAGATATTGATTAATGGTATGTGATAACTATTGTCAACTTTGTTAAATATTGTACTAATTACAAAAGCCTATGGAATTTTACACCTTAAGAATAATTATATTAGGAAAAAAACACATTCTATTTTATGTTTAGCGCAGGGCCAACGACACGGGAAAGCTGGGGGGTCAAGTCTTCCTCTTCCCGCTACTTTTTTTGAAAAGGACCTTTCTTTTTTTAAAAAAAATATTTTAGATATATAGGACTATGCAACTTCGAAACCCGTGTCGTCGGCCATGTAGCGGAAAATAAACACACAAAGACAGAGGAGAAAAAATAGTTAAAACGATAGAGAATAATAACAGTAAAAAAAAAATCATTATTAAAACTCTTTTACAAGAAGTTGAGAAATAAAGTACATCTGTCTCTAGCAGGCATGCAGTGTTTTTTAAATCAAAGCAAATAATTTGAGATATAAGGGTTATTTTGATGAAGTTTAAATTCATGATATTTTAACTATGAAAATAATAGAAGTTGCGAAATAAATGCCCTAATAATTAAAATTTTTAAACCGTAACAAAGTTGAAGTTTACGGAAGTAGGGGGATTTGTTTATAAACAGAAAAACTATAACTGTTCTTTTTATAATTTATAAAAAGTTTATAGAAAATAAATTTCAGAAAATTTATAGTAAAAAGTGTAATTCTAAAAAGTTTTGTACCACTTTAACTGTTTTTACCGGGTAGAGGTGAGATACTTTAAATAAATAAAAAACCCTCATCAACTCTGTATTGTCAACATGTACGATCTAGACTTTGATAAAAAAAGTTTCGACAGCTCTCTTAGATAAAATCAACTCTGAGTTGCTCTATTAATGGATCAACTTTAAATGAAATGCACAATCTAGAGTTCATTTATGAACAAAAAAAAACTTTGCAAATCCAGTTTATGACCCAATGTACCCATGCAGTGTAAAAACCTAATCTATGGGTTTTTACACTGCATGGGTACATTAAAAGTATGAAGTGTCTGCTACATTTTATATGTACTGGTGCAGAATTGGCACATAAAAAATTCATTTACAGAACTAGTTTTGAGAAGTGGCAGGTCAGTAAAGAAGAAAGGAAAATTAAATTGCAGAAGAAATCAAAAAACTTATGTAAGATTGACGAAATATTGATAAGCTGTTAATTTTACTAGCTCTAGTGGCTCTTAAACTTTAAACAATAAAAAGCCTTGAAATTTTTTACATATTATTAAGTTGTTTTTAATTATAGAGTATTAAAGAAACTGCTTACTAATCTCTTCAATTGTATCCCTATTATTATACGGGTTAGAGCGTACATAAGCTGTAGATTTAAAGTCACCAAATTCTCTGGAATAAAAACCTGACTGTAGGCATGCTTTACAAATAAGCATATGAATAATTGCAAGGAACTATTATATCCAAAAAGAAACAGAATCTGAAACTCATTAACTGACTAACAAGCTTTTCCAATTATTTAATTGATAATATTTATTAAATATTGTAAAGAGCTTCGTTATGAAATCATTATGATTTTTTCAGTCTTACCGCCTAGTTTTTAGAAGATATTCATAAACCTTTAGAACCTTCTAAGTTCGTAATAAGGCAAAGTTTGTATTATGATAATAGTTAAAGATTCTTGTGTAAAATCAGTTTAGTTTTAATTTATATAGCTTATAATATATAACTTTGTGACTTGTATTTACATACAGTTCATTATACGTAATAATAATTTTACCAATTATCTACTATTTAATTATACGAGTAAATGGTTTTAAATAAGTAAACAATTCAAACGTTAAATAATTTTTAACCAAAAAAGTTGGCTTTATCTCAAAAACCTTGCATCTCGCACAATCAACTCTGTGTTGTATGCAAAGTTTATGAGTAAAACTTTACATGTTTTACTCATAAACTTTAAAAAGTTCAGCGACGGCAATTAAGGTGTTTTTACAAAACACCTTAATTATCGTCACTGAAATCTATAGTCTTAAGCAGGGTTGTTACGACATTTTATATATGGCTGATCTGTCAATATATTTTCTGACATTTTTTCTGCTGATATAAAATATGTCCCACATATTTTCTATCGATGTATTTTGACATAATTATATATCTGAATTATTTTCTGCTGACATAAAAGATGTCTGACATATTTTCTATTGACATATTTTGACATAATTTTATGTCTGAATTATTATCTGCTGACATAAAATATGTCAATATTATTTTCTATTGACATATTTTAATATAATTTTATGCATAATATTATGAGTCGCTTTCTCTTGGTATAAAATATTTCTGTCATGATTTCTGTAAAAATTTTGGATGTAAAGTTGTGTCAAAATACGTTAACAGAAAATATGTGGGACATATTTTATGTCAGCAAAAAAAATGTCTCAGATAAATAACAACTTTGTTCTTAGTTAAGCAATTATAAATTCACGTGATTATATAACTGCGTTATTTTTTAAAGTTTAGCGTCATAATGCTAAGTTGCTATGTTGAATGTTTTTGCTAATGCTACGTTGTATTTTTTTTTTTTTTTAAATAAATAATGTTTATAATTTAATAACTATAATGGAATAATTTTAACAAAGACAACAAGATTAAAATAAAGACATAGTTCAAATTCATAAGTAATTTTTTTCTTTTGAGAAAATTAAATATGTCGTAAAGACGTCAACGAAAAGAATCGCCGTTAATTGAGGTGATAATATGAAAAGATAAAATGAAAGGCAACCCTTAAAATTTTTTTGATAATTCAGAATGTTTTAAGAAAATAATTATGAATACAAGTCAAAAAAATGATGTTATTTTTATATTACTGAAGAAATATGTAGGGGAAGGATGCATAAGTTAGGCATTTTAACAAGGTATTATTATTATTTTATTTATTTAACACCCAATTTACAAGGTAAAAAGAAAAAAATAAGAAAGTTATTTCGGATGACTTTGCTTAAAAACGTTTTCTTCGAGAATTTGCTTGAAAACTCCTCTTTGCTCTTTTGCATTCCAGCACTCTATTGCATACTTCAAGTTTCGTTCAACTTCGGAAGGAATTTTACTTTTAGAAAGTGGTATTTTTACCTTCTTTTTATTTTGAATTAGGTTTTGAAAATTTAATATCTGAAGATGGCATAGTTCCTGAATATCACTAACAAACGAATGTTGAAATAATGGGTGTTGCAGTTGTGAAAAGATAATGTCTGCAGTTGTTTTGTTATTAAGAAGTCGAAGGAACAAGTTTAACTTATTTTGTTGAACACTTTTTGAAATTTCCTGGATTTCAAATAACGAATTCATATAGTTTTTACTATGTTTTGAAACATTTAAAAACGATTTTAGCGCACTCCTTCCAATTATATCTAGCTTTTTCATCAGACCAGGATTATTTTCACATAGCTCCATACCATAAGTTAAGGTGGGGACTGCCAATGATTTATATATATAGGAAATAGAACTGGGGCGGGCAAATCGGATTTCAGATTGAATAAGAGTTTGAACAACAGCTCCAAAGTTTGATATTTTTTCATCAACATTTGAATAACCGAGTGAAGCAAAAACTGAATGTTTAGTATCCCATGTGAATCCCAGATGTCTAAGTTTATTCTAAAGATTTTTTTTATTACCAGAAATTGTTATTGTATTAGTTTGTATTTGGGCTTTACCTAAAATCAAGAACTCAGTCTTTTCGGCATTCAGTTTAATACAATTTAGATTACTGTAAATATTGCATGTTTTTATAAGCTTTTTGAGACCAGATAAGGTAGAGCTTAAAAGTATTATATCATCCGCATAGGCTACCACACCAGTAAAGTTACCGTTTATAGATGTGCCAACAATACCCTGATTTTTAATAGTTTCGAGAAGACTTTCAGTGTAAATATTATAAAGGTGAGGCGAAAGAATTGATCCTTGTCTTACTCCTTGCTTTAGAGGAAAAGAGATTGATTTACAACCTTGATATGAGACTGTTGCGCTACTATTGTTATACAACGAGGA